AGTAAATATTTCTTTTTTTATTGGTCACAGGGAACAGCCACAAAAACAACTCACCTTGTCATACAGAGCTAAATCTTCATCCTCCTCCATTAAGGGTCCTGAGTCAAAAAAGTGTTTTGATCTCTCCTCACGATTCTTCATACCTGTTAGACAAAACAGCATAAAGATAGAAGAGATATGATGTGAGATATGACCCAGACAGTCCTCCGAACATGTGGGTGGAGATATAAAGGAATGAGGAAAAACCAAGACATGCTTCAGTGTTCTTTTAGTTCTTTAAAGTTGAATTCTTACGTTTTAGGTAACTGGACTGTGTGTATCTAAAATTAGTGGACAGCTCCTGTAGACTCTGTGCCAGAGACGAGACCACGTTTCTCAATAGTCTCTCCTCCTGCTCGGTGCAGTGGCCGCAGCGAGTCTGCAAACCTGTCACAGCTCGCTGGCATCTGTGAAACATCTGCAGGGAACACAAGCGAGCAAGTAGAAATAAACAACATTTCAAAGTCTTGACAATAAAATATTCTCAGGTGTCAGCCATTAGAACAATAAGAGAGGACACGATTAATTCTATATCATTCTATACCAATTAAAATGTATTCAAAATAGGCTTAAAAGGTGTCTCCAATTGAGAAACATTTAAATAGGTGTTAAATTCTAAATAAATGTGCAGTATCTCAAAAACTAAACTGTAAAATGAATGTACCTGTGTGATCTCCTGGGTAGTGATTTCTATGGCGTGCTCCTCTTCACTACTGTCATCCAGAGTTGGACGGTTCATATGCTTGTCATGAAGTAAGGCCAGTTCTTTCATCTTCTGTCGAACCCGTGTGATTTCGTATTGAATCTGAAAGGCAGTGAGTTCACAACCAAGTTAGGACTTTGTGTTCAAAAACTTCCCAAAATGTAACATACAAGTTTTTACACATATAAATACTCTAAACTATATATTAAATATATGTTTTCACTGTGTATGAATTTTCAAAAATATTATAATAGTTCACAATATACAAAAGTGCATCTACAAATATAATTTCATAATTCATTTTACCTCATCAACTCCCTCTATCCATTTAGGAGGCAGTTTTCGTGTGACTCCAATGGCAGCCTCAGGATCCAGACTAATTCCTGACACCAGGGCCATTCGATCATCAGCCAACTTAAAAAGACAATCAAATTAAAACATTTAGTATAATAACTCACCACAATAATGATGGTACACCATTGTATGAGTCTAAATTCTACCATGAAGGGGAACAGCAGTACCTCATCCAGCTCCTAATGTGATTGGCAGAGAGCAGAGTGGTCCCATCCCATAAAGAGAAAGGAAAAAGAGAAAAATGAAAGAGAGTGAGCCCTGGAAAATCAGAAGGGAAGCCCAGAAAAAGTGTGTTTGCATCTACTCCCAACAATTTCATTCCTTTGAGATAAGAATCATTATTTCTGTTTATGGCAGCGATACAAAATGTCTGGTTGTCTGAATGCAAAGTTACATCATAAATTGTCTATAAACTAAATAATCCACTTTAGACACATTATGTGAAAAACAGTCAGAATAAAGGCAGCAGAAATAGTTGAGTTAAAGTAACAAAAAAGGACACATTCAAGAAAAATATAAAGGAAAATGCAATAGAATATTATACATTTAAGAAACTATACTAAACACTAAGACTTAATAGACCTGGCTTTATTATGATAATCTTTTTTATAATTAAACAGAGTCTCTCTCCCCACACACACACACACACACACACACACACACACACACACACACACACACACACACACACACACAC